CAGATACAAAGCTACGTGTGTGTGGTGTGTGTATATGTGTGTGTGTGTGTGTGTGTGTGTGTGTGTGTGTGTGTAAATGTACACGCGTCCCCTGGAGGAGGGCATGGAGACCCACTCCAGTATTCTTGCTGGAGAATCCCATGGACAGAGGAGCCTGGCGGGCTACAGTCCATGGGGTCACAGAGAGTCAGACACGACTGAGTGACTGAGCGCAGACACACATACATATACAACACACAGTATGATGATATGTTTATTTCTTACTGCTGCTCTAACAAATTATTGCCAACTTTATGGCTTATAACAACACAAATTAATTTTCCTGCATTTATGGAGGACGGAAGTCCAGAGTCAGTCTCACTGGGCTGAAGGCAAGGTGATGGCAGGGCTGGTGCCTTCTGGAGGCTCCCGGGCAGGATCTGTTCCTTGCCTCTTCTGGCTTCTGGTGGCTTCTAGCAGTTTGCAGCATTCCTTGGCTGTGGCCGCATCACTCCAGGCTCTGCTTCCCTAGTCATGCCTCTCCCTTCCCTTCTGCCTCAGATCTCCCTCCCCGCCCCTCTTTTTTGTAAAAATTTTTTTATTTATTTTTATTTTTGGCTGTGCTGGGTCTTCGTTGCTGCGCACAGGCTTTCTCTAGTTGTGGAGAGCAGGGGCTGCTCTTTGTTGTGGTGCATGGGCTTCTCATTGCTGTGGGTTCTTTTGCTGGGGAGCACGGGCTCTAGGGTGAGTGGGCTTCAGTAGCTGAAGCATGTGGGTTCACTGGTTTTGGTTCCCAGGCTCTAGATCACAGGCTCAATGATTGAGGCACATGGGCTTAGTTGCTCCAAGGCCTGTGGGATCTTCCCGGACCAGGGATCCAACCCATGTCTCCTGCATTGATTGGCAGGTGGCTTCTTTACCACTGAGCCACCAGCAAAGCCCTCCCCCTACCTTAAAGATTACCTGTGGTTATGTCAGGCCAGAGAGACTATCCAGGGTAATCACCCCGTCTCAAGATCCTGAATTTAGTCACAGCTACAGAGGCCCTTGTGCCGTGTAAGGTAAGATGTCCAGATTCCAGGGCTTATGATGTGGTTATCTTTGGGGGTCACAATTCAGCTATCACAGATGTCAATTTTGTGGAAAAAAGCAAAGTGCAGGCAAAGAGATTGATTTGAAAATGTTAACAGTGATCACCTCTGGATGGTGCATGGGAGGGTCATTTTTTTTTTTTTTCCTGCACCAAGCGGCTTGTGGGATCTTAGTTTCCTGACCAGGGGTTGAACCCAGGCCCATGGCAGTGAGAGCCCTGAGTCCTAACCACTGGACTGCCGGGGATTCCCTGGATGGGGGCGGGGGTCGTGCTTATTTTGGGTATACTCTCTGGTATCTTCCTTTTCCGTGCTGAGAAGTACCTCTTGTACCTCCATCAACACCGCCCCTGGATGCTCTCTGCACGCGATGTGCGCCCCACGGCGTGGTCCCCTGTCTCCACAGAGCCCGTGTTCTGGTTCTACGTGAAGGAGGTGCTCAGCAAGCACGAGCTACAGCGCTTCTACGCCCTGCGCCACATCGCCTCGGACGTGGGCCGCGGCCGCGCCTGGCTGCGCTGCGCCCTCAACGAGAACTCCCTCGAGCGCTACCTGCACATGCTCCTGGCCGACCGCGGCCGGCTCAGGTACCCGGCGGGGCGGGGGAGTGGGTGCGTCTGGGCTGGGGGTGGCCATCGCAGGATCTGCCCGCCTGCATCCGGGATGGCCGGGTTTCCCTCTTCCAGCCCCAGCTTGTCCGGCTGGGCCGTGGGCACAGTCCACTGGAGACCAAGTGAAGATGCCTGTTGGGCTCCCTTCACATGGCAACTGCATGCAGCAGGCACTCAATAGATGCCTGTTGTTATTAAGGCCTGGGGTGTGGAGTGAACTATTGTCTTAGGACACAACATGTGCCCCTCTTGGCAGAATTTTAATCTTGGTTTCTTTCAGATCCAAAATTTCTTGCTCTTTAGATGTTGGGTGTTCAGTGCCCTGTTTCTTGCTGTGTATCTCCTTGTACACTGGGTACTGGATGGTTCTTCTGGCTTTTTTTGTTTTTTTTAGAGGTTTGTCGATCTCAAACTGATGGAAAGTAATAGGGGCGTTTTAAGTTGAGGAGAGAAGTCATTTGTTATTAAAAACAACCCCTCCCATCCTTTTGTTTTCTTTTTTTCTTGATCATAAAGTTTATTCTGTCAGTTAGTACAGGCGAGGTTACGCTGCTGTAACAAGCGTTTTGGAAGCCTCAGTGGCTTGAGACTACCAAGTCCGTGTCTTTCACCTGCTGTGTGTCTGTCATGGGTTGAGGGTCTCATGTCAGAGACCCAGGCTGACAGAGGCGCATCTCTGCATATACTTCCTGGATTGCCACTGCAGACAGGGGGCTCTGGCTAAGGAAAACACTGGCCCTCCAAGCTTCTGCCCACCATGAAGCTTCACTTCCAGGCATATTTTATTGACCAGCAAATCACACCACCATGGGCAAGCTTAGCAGGGTGGGCGAGATATGTTTATTCCACAGCAATAGGGAGAAGGCACTGAATATGTATCAGTGATTGTACAGTCAGCCACCTTCCCTTCAGAAACATCTGATGGATGCTGTAGAACCTGCTGGGACAAGACTGAAATCACTCCTAACCTGCATAGACATAGCTCTGCGAGCGTGTTGGTGTGTTTTCCTGTCACTCTGCTTGTGTGCTGATGTTTATGACTTCTGTCTCTGTCTCCCTCTCTCTCCCTCTCTTCCCTGTCTCTGTTTCTCCCTCCCTCCCTCTCTCGCTGTTATTTTCCCTCTGAGAAGGATGGACTAGACATGTCGTTTTGTGTCACCTGATGGTACAAAGAGACAGTGATCAATTCTGTCCCTGTCCCTTGAATAACTTCCACGTCAGCAGTGCCCAGATCCTCAACAGTGAAATGTCACTTAGTTCAATAAGCTGGCATTTATTTCATCAGTGCTGTGATATATTTCCGTGATTTCATATCTTGCTGTGCGTTCCCTGGCTCAGGTCTCCTCTGCTGTTTCTTCTGCTGCTTGAGGTGGCCTTTCTTCCAATAGTTTAGGTGTTCTGGTGTTAGGTGTTAGGCGTTCCAGGCTTGTGCACTAAGGCTGTCAAAGATACTCCAAGTTCTCTTATTTGATGTGGCCTGTGATATAGCTTGTCCAGCTGTGTGTTCAGACCCTGTAGGTATAAAATGGCAGGGATGGGGGCCAGGAACACTGGCGACAGCAGTACCCACATGCTGCTTAGGACTACTCTTGTCTGAGTTGGGAGGCTGTGCATGTCTGCAGGTACCTTTGAGCATTAACCAGCTTTCACTAAAGAAAACACACTCACGTTTCTTGCTTCCCTGGTGGTGCAGTGGTAAAGAATCCACCTACCAGTGCAGGAGAGGCAGGTTCAATCACTGGATCAGGGAGATCCCCGAAGAAGGAAATGGCAACCCACTCCAGTATTCTTGCCTGGGAAATCCCATGGACAGAGGAGACTGGTGGGCTGCATATAACCCACAGGGTCACAGAAGAGTCAGACATGACTAAGCAACTAAACAACAACTCATGTTTCTTAACAGTAGGTTTTTTTTTTTTTTAATGCTAAGCTCTTTCCAGCAGATTATTTACAAGTGCCACCTGTTGTCTGTATCCCCAGCTTCTGCATCTGTGGACTCAACCAGCCGTGGATTGATTGAGTGCTGTGTTTAAGATCTGTGGTTGGTTGAACCCATGGTGGCAGAATTTGTAGATTTGGAGGGCTACCTGTACTGTGCTCTTGTATGTAAGCATCCTCAACTTTGGTATCCGTTGTGGGTCCTAGGGCCAATCCCCCATGGATACCAAGGGACAGGTCTGTCCTTCAGAGCCGTACTCTCAGTGTCACAGTTGAATGTAACAGTGAGCAATAGAAGGCAATCAGCTGTTAAGACTCACTGTTAGACTTCGCTGAATCACTAGCACCTCTAACTCAGTGTGGGTAAACCAAATTCATTTACGTGCAAGAAAACTGGCTCCAGTCTGTAAAGAATCACAGTTTGGGGGATTGGAGGCCTGACTGCACTGCCAGCTTGAAGATACAGTCTGTGCTTCCACTGACTTCTTTGCTGGGTTAAGTATGTTGACAATGATGTCTCTCTTTTCCTGTTGGTTATATTCAGTCACTTCAGCAGCTATGTATCTGGTCTTTAGCTGAACTCCAGGTCACCCATCACTGACCGTGCTTCAGTGAAATTGAGTTTTGACTCTGTTAGTTTAGAGTTCTCTGACCTGGTGGGGAAGTCAGAGATGAGGATACTTACTTGTTATTGCCTAGCTGGGGGTCTGCTAAAGAGCTGGGCCGTGGGGCTGGGAGAGCTGCCTTTGAACCCAGGCTGTATGATTTATTGCCAAATGACCTTGGACAGTGGAGTGACTGATTGGCTTTCTGGTCCCCTCCTCTCCAACTGCCGTTTAGATCTGTGGGCTTTTTTAGCTTCCCAGCCCATTCCAGGAGGTAATTTGGGCTTTTGAGGCTGCTGCCCAAACTGGTGTTACATACAGATGCCTTGGTTGAAGGGCCCAGGGAACTAAAATTTCGTTCTGAAATTGTCTCTTCTTGTATGAGTCCACTCAGGGGGTCCCTGTGGGCTGGCTTGGATTTCCTATCTATTTCTTAGACACGTTGCTTGAGTGAAAGTCACCACTGTTTGTCCCTTTTTCCTTTTCTGCTTCATAAGTAGTGCGTTTCCATCTCATGCCTATCTTGGTACTCTCAGGCTCTAATGATCTCAGGGGACCGATGAGGAAGTTGTAGGATATATGCGTTCAATCCTTTATAACCAGAAGACCCAGCGCAGCAGAGACCTTGCGTGGCCACTTTGGCATGGACAGGCATGAACTTTCCAGGGAGCCGTATGAAGGAATTGTCTGGCTAACGGATGCTGAGAGCCACGGTTTAGAGCATTCCCCCTCTCTTTTCCATTTGCAGCACGTTTTATGAAGATTGGGCTTTTGTCATGGATGAAGAAAGGTCTAGCATGCTTCCCACCATGGCAGCTGGTAAGCTGGCCAGGGCCAGGACCAGGGGCGGGGGCGGGGGGCAAGGGGCCCTCTGAAGCTTGGTGAGCAGAGGAGTGCCTGGGAGTGGATGTGTAACTCCACGGGGTGCTGTGGGTTCTCCCGTCCCTCACTGAATGAAAGGGCCACTCATCACTCGCCACTATCCTTCCTTTAGTGGCATTTATCTAGAATTGTGATGCCCTGGCTGGGAAAGCATGGGGTTGCGGGGTTTTGGTTGAGGCTTTGCAAGTGTGAGATAAAGATCCAGGGAACAGGAGCGGGGGTGGGGGTGGAGGGAGGAGACAAGTCTTGGAAGCCTGGCTCTCCCTCCCTCTGGCAGGTGGCCTGAGCCAGATCTGGTGAGTTTTTTTACCATTAACCTTCCTCTTCTGCGAGGTGGGAATCCTGATGGCACTGTAGTCAGCTTGATAGGGTTGTGAACGAATCAGATAAGAGAGTCAGTATCTGATTTGTCCTGGTGAAAGTCCTGCCTTGGTGCTAGTTGATGAATTGTTAAATTGTCTAACGTTTGACTCTCACTCAAAGGGTGAATGCAACCCAAGTGGGTACCTTGCTTCTTTCTTCCAAATCCTTTGTGGCCTCCTCTTTCTCTCTTTCCTGAAAGTTTTCACTGAGTCCCACCTCCTGAGTTACATTAGGCTTGTCCTTTGATGAGGAAGAGTCAGATGACCATGTTGTTGTGTGTAGGCCATAGGAGACCAGTGCACGTTTTTGCCTGAAGGTATAGTGGACATGATATTGGTGCATGTTTTTTTTTTTTTTAATTGAAGGATAATTGCTTTATAGTGTTGTATTGGTTTCTGCCATATGACTGCGTGAATCAGCCATAATTTTATATATCCTGTCTCTCTTGATTGGAGAAGGAATGGCAGCCCACTCCAATATTCTTGCCTGGAGAATTCCATGGACAGAGGAGCCTGGTGGGCTCCAGTCCATGGGGTCGCAGAGAGCAGGACATGGCTGAATGACTGTCACTCACTCACTCCCTCTTGATCCTCCATCCCCCCTCCTACCCCACTCCCCTAGGTCATCACAGAATATTAGGCTGGGCTCCCTGTGTTATATAGCAACTTCCTGCTAATTACCTATTTTGCACAATAGTGTGTATATGTCATTTTTTGATTGCTTACCAAGCTGATTTTGGTGGGTGATGGTCTTTAATACTCTGTAAGAGAGGCTGTTGTCCCTCTTTTATAGATAAGGAAACTGAAGCTCAGAGAGGTCATGAATGGCTTGACCAAGGTCTCAGAGCTACTGAGCGGCCATGCTGGGGCTCAGCCCAGGCAGTCTGACCCCAGAATTTAAGCCTTCCCCTCCCCATGGCTGACTTCTTATTTGAGTTTGTCTTCCTGACAAATAGGGGAAGACTTTGGAAGACTCAACTCCCATGATAGTGGTGTCTCCTGACCCCAGTTTTGTGGGAGTTGTTTGATTGTTTTTTAAGTCACCGTTTGAGATGAGTGTGTACCCTCTTATGTCCTCTAACGTCGCAGCGTGTTTATTGTGTTGGAAGTGTGACTGTTGAACAGCAGACACTGCAGACTTCTCCCTTTTCGGGGGGTAGGTCTGAACTCCATACTCTTCGCAATTAACATCGACAACAAGGACTTAAACGGGCAGAGTAAGTTTGCTCCCACCGTCTCGGACCTCTTGAAGGAATCCACGCAGAATGTGACCTCCTTGCTGAAGGAGTCCACGCAAGGAGTGAGCAGCCTTTTCAGGGAGATCACAGCGTCCTCGGCTGTCTCCATCCTCAGCAGAGCTGAGCAGGAGACCGACCCCCTGCCCGTGGTGTCCAAGCACATCAGTGCCGGTGAGCGAGGGTGCGGGGACTGGGGTCGGGCAGGGAGGCGGGTGGGGGCACCCAGGGAAGCGAAATCTGATGCACTGGTATCTTCAGCTTGCGTTTCTGTCTGTCTGTCTTGCTCTTATTCACTCCGAAAGCGTGCTGAGAGGCCTCCTGGGACGTGAAGGTGACAGGGTAGCCAAGCCAGCAGCTCAGTCAGGGCATACCTAGAGGGAGGGCGTGATGGTCGCGTGGAGCCAGAGGAGGCTGCCCTTCGCCCTGCCATCCATTCATTCGTTTGATCATCCTTCTGATCCGTGGGACGAAAGCCCAGCGTAGGGTGCTCTGGGGAATGTAGACTGTTGAGGGGGTGACGTTTAAGTGGAGGCCAGGGAAAGAGAGGAGATGGTCAGTTTTGACTCTAGGCTCTGGGTAGGCAAAGGAAAGTGGATTCAGTCCTGATTAATTTTGTAAGAAGTTTTACAGTGTCCCCTTGAACCTTCTGGCACATGCAGAACTTTGAAACAGCAAAATAGGAAATTTTGGGTATAAGGGCTTAATCCCTGGTATTCTCAAATCCCTTAGATAAGGCAGTAATCATGGTCCTTCCTTTGGAGTTATTAATGATGGGGAAGCTCAGAATTCTGTGAAGTCTTTAGTATACACTGGCTTTACCTGTCTTGCCTTCTCCTGTTTTTTTTAATTATTAAAAACATTTTTTTGGCTGTGCCTCAGGGCGTGTGGGGTCTTAGTTCCTTGACCAGGGATTGAACCTGTGCCCCCTGCATTGGAAGTGCAGAGTCTTAACCACTGGACCACCAGGAGGGCCCACCCCTCTCCTTGAGCAGAGACCTCATGCAAACAACATGGACTGTTGATGACTGTACTAGATATGCTGGGATTTGTACACCCAGAGGACTATCTTTTTCCATCCATTTTGGGAACCCTGCTTTTGACATTGTCTCCAAGTTGTGGCACGCTGGTGGTGATGCAGCCCCACGTCACACCTTAGTGGGTGGATCTGTCTTTTTGGAATTGGCTCCAAAATGCTTCACACCCAAGGTTGATGATTAAGATGAGTGAACAAGCTGGCTCACCTAGGTGCTAGGCGCCAAGGCAGTCTTGACTTCTATTTCCGTTTGTCTTTGCTGCGTAACAAACAGCTTCAAAATGTAGTAGCTTAAAACAGACAACCTCAATTTATTCCTTTTTTTGTGAGTCTGTGGGTTGGCGGGATGGTTCTTCTGCTGGTTTTCACCCTGGGCTCCCTCATGGGGCTGCATTCAGCTGGTGGCTGAGCTGGAAGGCCCAAGGTGGCCCCACTCACGCATCTGGAGTTGGTGCTGACTCTTGGCTGGGGCATCTCAGTTTCCCCTACGTTGGCCTCTCATCTTCCAGTAAGTTAGACTGGCTTCTTCTGTGGTAGTTTCAGGGCAGTATTCCATGAGGGTAACGCCTGGCCTCTAGAATTCACACATTTGCTATTTCTGCCACATTCTGTTCTTAAAAGCAGAACACTAAGCTGGCCTAGATTCAGGAGGGTGGAGAAATAGGCACCACCCCTGATGGGAGCAGTCCTACTGAAAAGGGGCATCTTGCAGGGTTGGGAGGAATTGTGGCTGTTGAACAATCAGTTACAATCCCTAAACTGATTTTCTTGGTCTTATCTCCCAGCCATGAGAGTGTTTTCCAAAGTGAAAGGGTAAAAATCATTTCAGTAATGATTCATCTTTTGAATCAAAGTGCTTGGAAAGATTGCTTAGAAGGAGTGATTGTAATGTGTGCTCTGTGACATATTTCAAACCAGAAGTAGAGGCCCACATCCATTTTGCTCAGTCTCGCATAGACATTTTTTTTTCCCCCCAGAGGATTGAAAAAAAGGTCTGAGTTTATCTTCAGTTTATTTTTGATTAGAATAGTAAGAGATTTTCCACAGTCTAGAGGCAGGATGGGTCAATCATTGCTTTTTCTTGCCTGCTTTTTCTTATCTCATATCTTTTGCCAGATGCCAAATGTAAAAGGGAGCGGAAGAAGAAAAAGAAGGTGACCAACATCATCTCATTTGATGATGAGGAAGACGAGCAGAGCTCCGGGGATGTTTTTAAGAAGATCCCCGGGGCAGGGGAGAGCTCAGAGGAGAACTCTGACCGGTCCTCAATCAATATCATGTCGGCCTTTGAAAGCCCCTTTGGGCCAAATTCCAACGGAAGTCAGGGCAGCAACTCTTGGAAAATTGATTCTCTGTCTCTGAACGGGGAGTTTGGGTACCAGAAGCTGGATGTGAAAAGCATTGATGATGAAGATGTGGACGAAAACGAGGATGACGTATACGGGAGCACTCCAGGAAGGAAGCGCCCAGGCCACTCGGAGTCGCCAGAGAAGTAAGTTCCACCCGAGAGCTTCTACGAAAGGGTAGTAAGGGACGTCCCGGGTGGTCCAGCGGTTAAGAGTTCACCTTCCAGTGCAGGAGGTGTGGGTTCGATCCTTGGTCAGGGAGCTGAGATCCCACGTGCCCCAAGGTCAAAAAACCAAAACATGCAAAATAGAAGCAATATTGTGAGAAATTCAATAAAGACTTTAAAAATGGTCCACATCTCAGAAATCTGCCTGCCAGCACAGGTTACACGGGTTCGATCTCTGGTCTGGGAGGATTTCACATGGCTCGGAGCAACTCAGCCTGTGTACCACAACTGCTGAACCTGCGCTCTGGAGCCCGAGAGCTGCTAGTTGCAGCTGAGCTGCTAGCTGCTGAGCCCGTGGGCTGCGGCTACTAAAGCCCGCACACCCTAGAGCCCGTGCTCTGCCACAAGAGAAGCCACTGCAATGAGAAGCCCACGCACCACAACTAGAGACAGGAGAGAGTAGCCCCTGCTTGCTACAACTAGAGAAAAAGCCCACGCAGCAATGAAGACCCAGCATAGCCAGATAGATAAGTTAAAGAAAGGTCCACATTGAAAAAAAAACCTTAAAAAATGTTAAAAAAAAAAAAGGGTGGTACACAGGCTGCTGGCTCTTTCTGCAGTTTTGGGTGACATTAGACTGCAAGTTTTTTATTTGTTTGTGGCATCTTTCATTATTCAGATCTTGATTTTGGGGGAAGGAGCATGAGTTTACTCTATTCCTGAGAACTAAGTGAAGGGAATATATATATTGTTGAAACAGTACTTATTGCAGCATTGGTGTCAAGATGTATGACCTGAAATTCTTGCTTTGTGTTTAGGTCTTTCATTTTATTCCTTGAATTTTGCTCGCATGTCTTACTTGCCACCAGCCCAGGAAGTTCAGAAGAGAGGCAAGGTGTTGTAGAGAACAGTCTCCGGCTGGTAATTTCTGTGTTTATCCGCAGGGTAACCTGCCTGCATTTATCACCTTAACACTGGAGCTGTAGTATGTTTGTCTTCAAGAGGGGCTTGATGCAGGTGAACCTGTGAAGCAGAAAAGCAAGGTTAGGAGATTGAACCTTAGAATCTTGACAACCGGGGCTCTCAGTTACTAGCTCCGCGGCTTAGTTTAGACTAGGACAGACGAGTTTCTTCGCCTCCCAGAGCCTCAGGCCTCCCCTGAGATCTGAGACAACAGCAGCACGTGCTTTGCAGAGCTGTTGTCCAGTCACCGGGACCCTGCATGTGAGGCCTTGGGCGCTGGTGCTGGCACGTCGAGAAAGCCTCGCAGCTGTGACGGCTGTGGCGCTGTAACCCTTGCGATCATTCCTGTCCTTGTTCTTACCCTTTTAAAAAACATTCATTCATTCATTCTTGACTGCTGGGTCTTCATTACTGTGAGGGCTTTTCTCCAGTTGCAGAGAACGGGGACTGCTCTCACTTGCGGTGCACAGGCTTCTCATTGTGGTGCCTTCTCTTTTGCAAAGCGTGGGCTCTAGAGAGTGGGCTCTGTAGTTGTGATGCATGGGCTTAGCTGCCCCGTGGCTTGTGGAATCTTCCCGGACCAGGGATCGAACCCGTGTCGCCTGCATTGACAGGTGGACTTTTAACCACTGAACCACCAGGCAAGTCCTGCTCTTACTCTTGATGCTGAATCAACTAGTGACTTCTTCACCTGAGCTCTGGAGTGTGCAGTGCCACCCTAGTCATGGCTGTCTTCAGAACTGGCCCACAAAAGTGTCCAGTGAAGAAGCCGAGACCCCACGGGACGCCAAAGAGGCCAAGTGCGCCTCCAGTCCTAAGCTTGGCGTCTCCGTGTGTTGAGTCAAGAGTTTTTTTTTCTTTCTTGTGAGTCTCTGCCTGTTTTTGTCTTTGATTTTTACTCTTATCCTCGTTCACGTGGATGCTCACGATAGTAGCGTTGCCTCTGTATCATCTAGGACAGGCCAGATGCTGAAAGCTGCACACACACTGTATCCTAATACTTAGAGTGATCTCTGGGGGTTCGTGGGTGTCACCCCACTTGATGGATGAAAGAACCAGGTTCTTTAATGCAGAGAGTTGAGATTTGTCAAAGCAATGGGCAAAACCAGGATTAAGGTTAGGTTGCATTGGCTCCATTTTTCTTTCTGCCCAAGGTTTTTTCCTCCTGGGGAAGTCCCCCTGTGTCATTATTGCTCACTGGGTATGGATGATTTTTTACCTGGATCCAGTCTTGTGACCCATGCTGTTAAGAGTTCTCCAGAGAAACAGAACCGATAGTGTATATGTGTGTGTTTCTGCATGTGTATGTATGTATGTATGTATCTACAGAGATTTACTTTAAGAAATTGGCTCATGCGATTGTGGAATTTGACAAGTCTAAAATCTGCAAGGTAGACCTGCAAACTGGAGGCCCAGGGGAGGACTGCTGTTCAAATCTGAAGACAATTGGCTGACAGAATTTCTTCTTCTTTGGGGGGAGAACATCTGTGTTTTTCTGTTGAGGCCTTTAACTGATTACGTGAGGCCCCCTGACTTATGGAGAGTGATCTGCTTTACTCGCACTCTCCTGACTTACATTTTAATCTCATCTAACCAAATGTTTTCAAAGAGACATCAAGAATAACATTTGGTCAAATATTTCGGTACTGTGGCCTAGCCAAGTTGACACATAAAGTTAACCATCACACCTGCCTATGGTTCTTCCCGTGGGCCTTTTAGGAAATGCCATTTGCATTTTCTGTCACTCTAGGTAAGTGCATCTCCGAGTTGCATCACTCCATGAGTTGGTTTTGTGGCCTCAGACAGTCGTTTCTCTTCCCGCTGGACCAGCGCCAGTGAGGGGAGGCCAGCTTGCGAGCTGGGGCAGCCACCGGCATTGTGATGTGTGAGACACAAAACAGAGCAGGGTGACCTTTACAGGCTCGGCCCTCCGAGGCCACTGGGCCTCCTGTGGACTATGGACAGCTGCTCCCTGACATAAAGAGGGGATCTCGAGCCAACATCCTGCAGAGCATCTTGGGGAAAGAGCAGTGATGAGATGGCCTACTGAGTAATGCTTTGATTTTGCTTCTAAGCTAGATTCATGTGAAAGGTCTAGGAACCTGGAGGGGCCGGGACTTTAGAGTTTAATAGCGTGGCCAGGTTTGTGGGAGGAAAGGGGCCAGGCCGAGAGATGCACATGCTGGGTGGCAGCGGCCTCTGGCAAAGTCAAATGCTCTGATTGTTTTTTATTAAGAGATGCGCTGTTGGCCAAATATTGGGTTTACACTCCACGTGCTGGCAATTAAGCCACTTCTTAGATGACTGAGGAAAGATCTTGTGCCTCCCACCTCAATATTTATAAGTGATTCAGTTCAGTCACTTAGTCGTGTCCGAGACTCTGCGACCCCAGGGACTGCAGCACACCAGGCTTCCTTGTCCATCACCAACTCACGAAGCTTGCACAAACTCATGTCCATCGAGTCAGTGATGCCATCCAACCATCTCACCCTCTGTCAACCCCTTCTCCTCCTGCCTTCAATCTTTCCCAGCATTGGAGTCTTTTCCAATGAGTCAGTTCTTTGCATCAGGTGGCCAAAGTATTGGAGCTTCAGCTTCAGCATCAGTCCTTCCAGTGAATATTCAGGACTGATTTCCTTTAGGATTGACTGGTTTGATCTTGCAGTCCAAGGAACTCTCATGAGTCTTCTCCAACACCACAGTTCAAAAGCATCAGTTCTTCAGTGCTCAGCTTTCTTTATAGTCTAACTCTCACACCCATACATGACTACTGGAAAAACCATAGCTTTGACTAGATGGACCTTTGTCCGCAAAGTAATGTCTCTGCAGTCTAGGTTAATCATAGCTTTTCTTCCAGGGAGCAAGTGTCTTTTAATTTCATGGCTGCAGTCACCATCTTCAGTGATTTTGGAGCCCGAGGAATAAAGTCTGTCACCTTTTCCATTGTTTCCCCATCTATTTGCCACAAAATGATGGGACTGGATGCCATGATCTTTGTTTTTTAAATGTTGAGTTTTAAGCCAGCTTTTTCACTCTCCTCTTTCACTTTCATCAAGAGGCTCTTTAGTTCTTCTTTGCTTTCCTGCCGTAAGGGTGGTGTCAACTGCATATCTGAGGTTATTGATATTTCTCCCACCAAATATCTTGATTCTAGCTTGTGCTTCATCCAGCCCGGCATTTCGCATGATGTACTCTGCATATAAGTTAAACAAGCAGGGTGACAATATACAGACTTGACATACTCCTTTCCTGATTTGAAACCAGTCTGTTGTTCCATGTCCAGTTCTAACTGTTGCTTCTTGACCTGCATACAGATTTCTTAGGAGGCAGATAAGGTGGCCTGGTATTCCCATCTCTTGAAGAATTTTCCACAGTTCGTTGTGATCTACACAGTCAAAGGCTTTGGTATAGTCAATAAAGCAGAAAGTAGATGTTTTTCTGGAACTCTCTTATTTTTTCTATGACCCAACAGATGTTGGCGATTTGATCTCTCGTTCCTCTGCCTTTTCTAAATCCAGCCTGAACATCTGAAAGTTCATGGTTCACATGCTGCTGAAGCCTGGCTTAGAGAATTTTGAGCATTACTTTGCTAGTTTGTGAGATGTGTGCTATTGTGCGGTGGTTTGAACATTCTTTGGCACTGTCCTTCTTTGGGATTGGAATGAAAACTGACCTTTTCCAGTCCTGTGATCACTGCTGAGTTTTCCAAATTTGCTGACATATTGAGTGCAGCACTTTAACAGCATCATCTTTTAGGATTTGAAATAGCTCAACTGAAATTCTATCACCTTCACTAGCTTTGTTCATAGTGATGCTTCCTAAGGCCCACTTGACTTCACATTCCAGGATGTCCGGCTTTAGGTGAGTGATCACACCATTATGGTTATCTGGATCATGAGGATCTTTTTTGTACAGTTCTTCTGTGTATTCTTGCCACCTCTTCTTAATATCTTCTGCTTTTCTAAGGTGCATACCATTTCTGTCCTTTATTGTGCCCATCTTTGCATGAAATGTTC